CCAACATCAGGGCCAGATCCCACCCTTTGGCATGGAGCGGGGATTCTACAACCTCCAGCATGGAGGCGCGATAGATCAAGCCCTTCCCGTGATGTTCCGATGGACCAGGGACATTGGCGACCAGGCACAAGTGACGTCCAACTAGATGGTCCAGATGAGAGCCACAGTGGAGCGTGCAGAGAGGCGCACTTAGGACCTTATGCGAGAGTTTCAGGAGCGGTAGGCTGCACAAGAGACAAGAGTGCGAGTCGTTGAGCACCAATTAGCTGAGTATCAAGGTGCTTCTACCTCATCATAGGCACCACCCGCGACCACTCATCATGTGTAGGACTCATCCTACCCTTTCTTTTCCCTTTATGCATGTAGGATCAACCCTACATTTAAGTGATTACACTACTCACAGGGTCATTATGCTGTCAGATTCATATTCTTTATGTACTGTAGACCTTTCAAAGGTCAATTTTCACGCATTTATGTACTAAAAATTTATCATTAATAAAACGATGATGTTGGACGAGTATTGTCCCCGAGGTGAAGTGCAAAAGATCGAATAAGAACTGTGGAATCTTACCGTGCAAAACTCTGACATTGAAGCATACATTGCCAGGTTCAAAGAGCTGGCACTCTTATGCATAGGAATGATAAGTTCTGAGAGCAAGAAAGTTGAACGCTTCATTTGGGGGTTAACTCCTTCAATCCAGGGAATTGTGATTACTGAGAACCCCTCAACGTTCGATAGTGCTAATTGCATGGCGTAAAAGTTGTACGGCCATGGGAATGGAAAGGGAACGAAGACTTCTGGAGCTGAAACAATGAAGGAGGAAAACAATAATAAAAATTGTGGAAACAAAGGAAAAGATCGACAGACTCAAGAATCATTTAAGAAGCAGGAAACTGTAGCAGTTCACGCTGCTACCACTCATACCGCACCAACACCATCTGCACCAACATCAACCACACCACCACCCGCAAGGCCATACGCAGACACTCAACCAAAGTGTGATAAATGAAATTTCCACCACAGCGGCACATGGCGAGACTTACAGTGCACCAATTGCAATCGAAAGGGGCACACTACCCGATATTCTAGATCTCAACCATAACAAAACAACCAACCTAAGAACGTCGGGGCCAGTCGAGCATGTTACAGGTACGGGGAGACTAGCCATTTCAAACGAAATTTTCCCAAAGGCAATAATCAAGGTGCAGGGGGATCAGACATACAAAGAGAGGTTGTGCAAGATCCAACGGTAGTCATTGGTATGTTCCTCCTTAACAACATCTATGCATGCATATTATTTGACAGTGGGGCGGAACAAAGTTTCATGAGTCATAAATTTAAACATTTACTAAATCAAAGTCCTCAAAAGTTAAATGAAACCTTCATTGTGGAAATGGCTAATGGGAAAACTAAAACAACCAATGACGTATTTCTAGGGTGCACGCTAACACTAAATAATCACACGTTTCAAATCAACTTGATGCCGGTTAATATTGGAAGCTTTGATGTGATCATCAGTATGGATTGGTTAAGCCCCCACCATGCCGATATTATGTGCCACGAGAAGGTCGTTCGCCTTCACCTACCCAACGACGAAACCCTAATTATATATGACGATAAACCCAATACAAATCTCTGTCTTATCTCATACATCAAGGCACAAAAGTGATTGTATAAAAAGTATTACGCCTTTCTAGCCCACATAGTGGACAAACAAAAAGAGGAAAAGAACATCAAGGACATTCCGGAGGTGCGCGACTTTCCAGATGTATTCTCGGAATACTTCCTTGGGATACCTCCTGAACGACATGTCAAATTCCGTATTGACCTAGTATCCGGAGCCACGCAAATTGCCAAGTCACCATATAGATAAGACCCTATGGAAATGTAAGAGCTATCTAGCCAATTGAGCTAACTACTAGACAAATGATTCATAATATCGAGCTTCTCACCCTGGGGAGCTCTGATATTGTTTGTCAAAAAGAAAGATGGTTCCTTCTGTATGTGTATCGATTACCAAGAACTCAACAAGCTCATCGTAAAAAATCGATACCCACTTCGTAGGATCGATGATATATTCGACCAATTGCAAGGAGCCAGTTACTTCTCAAAAATACATCTGAGGTCAGGATACCATCAACTACGAGTCTAAGAAGAAGATGTCCCCAAAACTACCTTTCGAACTCGTTACGGGCACTATGAATTCATGGTTATGCATTTCGATCTAACGAATTCACCCGAAACATGTATGGACCTGATGAACTGAGTTTGTCGATCCTTCCTTCACAACTTTGTAATAGTCTTTATCGATGATATACTGGTTTACTCTCGAAGAAAGGAAGAACACAACCAACATCTATGGCAGGTTCTGGAGACCCTAAGGGCGGAAAAGTTGTACGTGAAATTCTCCAAGTGTGAGTTCTGGATCTGTAGGGTGGAATTTCTGGGACACGTAGTCAGTAAATAAGGGATACATGTAGACCCTTCCAAGATCAAAGCTATTGAGGGTTGGGCAAGCCCCAAAACACCTATAGAGATCAGATAATTCTTGGGCCTCACTGCATACTACAGGAGGTTCATTCAGAATTTCTCCAAGATTGCCAAACCTCTCACCACACTAACCTAAAAAGGTGTACATTTCATTTTGGAGAAGAAACAAGAGCCTGCCTTTCACACTTTGAAGCAATCCCTCTACAATGCTCCGGTCTTGTCTCTCCTGGAGGGGACCAAGGATTTTGTGGTGTATTGTGACGCTTCCAACCAAGGTTTGGGTTGTGTATTTATGCAGCATGGGAAGGTTATAACTTATGTTTCTAGGCAACTAAAGACCCATGAGGTAAATTATACCACTCATGATCTTGAACTGGGAGAGGTGGTATTCGCCCTAAAAATTTGGAGGCACTATCTCTATTGGACCAAGTGCCCTATTTTTACAAACCACAAAAGCCTCGAACACGTTCTGAATAAAAAATAATTGAACATGTGACAATGGAGATGGCTTGAGGTGTTGAATGACTATGAATGTGAGATCAGGTAGCATCTTGGCAAAGCTCATGTGGTAGCCAATGCCTTAAGTTGGAAGGAGTACTCGGGTTGTCGAGTGCAAATGCTATCAATAACCATCTATTCCAATTTGTCTTCACAAATTAAGGAGGCTCAGCTGGAAGCCTTGAAACTAGAAAACATCGTAAATGAAGGCTTATGTGGAATGGATAAGAACCTAATCATCAAAGAGGATGGCGCCTGCTACCTTGTGGACCGGATCTGGACGTTGAAGTTCGGTGGATTCCAGGAGCTTAAATAACACTATTAGTGGCCTAATATGAAAGCATAAATTGCGATTTATGTGGGAAAGTGTTTGAATTGTGCCAAAGTTAAGGTGGAATATCAGAAGCCCTTGGGTCTACTACAACAACCCGAAAAAACCGAGTGGATATGGTAGAGGGTCACAATGGACTTTATAACCAAACTACCCAAGACAACTGACGGATTGGATGCCATTTGGGTAATTGTCGATCGACTGACCAAATCCGCCCATTTCTTGACAATAAAGGGAACTTATAAGATGGAAAGGTTGACCCATATTTACATAAATAAGATTATTATACTGCATGACACGCAAAAATCCATCATCTATGACAGAGATAGAAGATTTACACCATGGTTTTGGCAATCGCTACAAAAATCATTGGAAACTCAGCTCGATATGAGTACTGACTACCATCCTCACACAGATGGTCAAAGTGAAAGGACCATCCAAACCCTGGAGGATATGCTCAAGTCATGTGTGATAGATATTGGTAATGCATGGGATGCCCACTTTCCATTTATTGAGTTCTCGTACAATAATAGCTACCACACAAGTATCATGGTCACCCCCTTTGAGGCCCTTTATGGACGAAAATGATGATCACCTCTCTGTTGGGCGGAGATTGGAGATACATAATTAGTGAAGGATTGGCACCCGACAGTATTCTTATATGGCGACTCAAAGCAACTCCAAATGATTCCAGTAAATTTCCAAGAAGACATGCATAACTAGGGAACTCAGCTGATATCTCAACAGGTAATATTTTTTCATAATTTTGACTACATGTTTCCATTTTATGAAGATAATACTGACATAGCCCCTGTGAAACATAAGTCTAGACATAGAAACAATGATAGATTTCAATATGTGGAAGCCAAATAAAATAGAAATATGAATTGATGCAATGTTTTTACAACTGAATTACCTCCTTTAGGTGAGGAAAAATCTGTCATAGAAAAGGAATTGTTAGAATTTGGGAGGCAAAACTCCATTGAAGGTCAATATCTGGACAAACACAATGCCCTTGACCAGTATGAGTAACAACTAGGGCAAGAACACGCTCCATTAAAGATACACTTCCAACTCGGCTTTCAGAGTTTAAACTTTCCTACAAAAATTTAAATAGGTAACAAGAAAAAGATAAGGTAAGACTAAAATAGGATGCAAATTTTAAAAAACTAAAACATATTAACAATTAACATACCCTTCCTGTAATAACAATCTCCCGGAAAATCTTATATATGTTTTGTTGCAAAAGATAACTGGCTATCTTACAAGACCAAGGAAGCTTGGGATCAATCAACAATGTAGCTGCTTTCAACAAGATACTTGTTGGTGTATTTGAGTCCAAATATGTTGATAACAATTCATCCTTTAACTGATGTCTATTTCAAAACAACATACAACTGGTCTTTGGCAAAGATTCAAATAAAAAACAACCTTCTATGGCTATTTTGGGTGTTGAGCATGAGGAGGGCATTCACGTCTTTTGCACAGACGAGAGACTGAGAGCGAGTAGATGTCCCACCTTGTAAAAGATGAGAAATAACGCATGAGGCAAACCTATTATGATGTGTAGCCTGAATACAGGCATAAGCAAGTTTCTTCACCCTATAGTTCACCAAAGCATCATTAGAAGAATAGTGGGAGCCACCAAAAATGGACATGCATATAAATTTTTATCAGAGTATGATGGAGAAACAGGGAATTGATAGTGGAAAAGATGCGATGGAGGCATATAGAGTTGCACGCATGGAAAGTGAAGATTCAAGTACTGATGAACAACTTGTAGCTGATAGGGTCTCTTCAGCCCTCATAAACAGGGTACGTAACTAAGAAGACATTTATTTATTAATTTCATCTCTCAGCTCCACTTACTTAACTCATCAGTTATGTTGTTGTTGCGTTATTATTAATACTAATATTATTAATATTCATATTATTATTATTATTATTATTATTATTATTACTATTATTATTATTATTATTATTATTACTATTATTATTATTATTATTATTATTATTATTATTGTTATTATTATTATTATTATTATTATTATTATTAGGTTGAAGCTATGCTCCAAAATCTTGAGAAAGAAATTGATGACGTAGATGCAAAGATTGGTGATCGTTGGCGAGTGCTTGACAAGTATGCATGTTGTTTACATTTAATTTAGGGTGGACTTCTAACATGATTGGTTTATTACTTAGAGATTATGATGGAAAAGTTACTCATGAGGAAATGGCATCTGCAGCAATATACTTGAAAGATACTTTAGGCAAGGAAGGGGTTCAGGAGCTTATCACCAACCTTTCCAAAGATAAAGGTCACCCTCGTTACTTTACAACTTGTAAAAATTTACTCCAAAACAGAATGCACTTGATTCCGAAAGATAAAGTTCCATCCATTTGGCAACCAAACAAAGCTCAATTTCCAATTCCTTCAAAATCCACACCACACCCTAATAACTTTGTCTTTATACCCATCAACTTGACTTGTTTTGGTATGTGTATGTGTATGACAGAGGGGAATATTCTTGTTGAAGACATAGTGAAATTGCGCAATCGAGCAGAGGATGCTGACTGATTGATCTCAATTCTCTCCACAACCACAGATGAGATGAATAATGGTATAGTATTCTTTTGTTTGATTTTAGATGTAACTAATTAGTATATGTATAACTTCCAATAACTTTTTTTTTTTTTTTTACTTTTTGTAGCCAGATTGTGAGGCTAGCTTGCTGAGTCAGTGAAATGGTTTATTTTTTTAACCCTGATCTGTTGTTGCTTAGGCCTTGTTTATTTTTTCTTATTCTTGTGGAATCAATGAGCAAATAAAGTATGTTTTTTATCAAGCTGTTGTATCTATTCAGACCCGACTTAGAGAAATGGTTGCAAGAGATGAGTTCAAAAGAAGAAGAAACAAGGCTGCAACTATAGTTCAGGTACTATGGATGAATTATGTTTGTAAAGTATTTAACAAAATGATTAGAAACAAGGGTGAATTTGTACAGATTATTTAGCTACTTGCAGGTTGATCTTAAAAAAGCTAAGGGGCAATGGATTGTATTTTTTGTATCTAATTTGTTTGTAAATTTTTGTTACAACTTCTATTGATTTGTTTCATCTTTCCATGGAATGATTATTTGTATGACATTAAATTTATGCAATGGATTTTATTTTTTGTATATGATATTTTATTTTCTATTATGAAACATTAAATACAAATTTAATTTGAAAATAAGTAAATCAAAAAAATATTTTTTTAAACATTTAAAATTATGATACGCAAAAATGTGTGTCATCTTCATTTATGACATGGCCTTTCTTGGCAGGAGCTTTCTTGATACGCATTGCGTGTCATTAACACGCGTGTCGTAAGGTTACGACACGCGAATGCGTGTCATCTTCCTTTATGACAGGGCCTTCCTTGATATGCATTGTGTGCCATAAACGCGCGTCGTAATTGTGCGTCGTAAATGAGCGTCATCTCTCTTTATGACAGGGCCTTCCTTGACGCGCATTTGCGCGTCGTTTGAGCCTTTTACGACGCGCAATGAGCGTCGTAAAAGGCTGTTTTTCTAGTAGTGCCCTAAGATACCCATACATGTTATATTATGATATGAAGTGCGAATATGTGAATTGCATGCTAAATTGGGGCTAAGGTTCTAGGAAGGATGCCTTGTATGCCTACTGTATGTGCTTATTGAACTGCATGCTAGATTAAGGCTAAGGATCTAGGAAGAATGCCTTGTATGCCTACTATATGTGCTTATTGAACTGCATGCTTGTATTGATTAGTCAGTTATATGATGGTCTGTTTAGGATATGCATGGTTTTGGTTATTCAATGCTCGAATGTTGTTTGTGTTGTGCTTTTAGGAGTTATAGTTATCTTTAATTAACTAGTAAACGAATATGTTAAGTTACATATTACAAGGAATAAATAATTTAAGAAGGTTAGGTCTATCCCTATTTTGCAGCTTTTTTCTGAGTCCAACCGTTGTAGGGTGGGACCACTCATTCGGAGAATTCTCTAGTCTTAGTAATATGTAATGTTATCCGTGATCTAGTTAGCAAGAGATAGCAGGGACTTCTTATGCAACTGACGTCAAAGAGTGGGTCAGAGATTACCCTTGGGAAAGAGTAGGAAGAGATTAGTGACATGAACTATTTGATTGAGAATTGTATTCATGGATACGAAGCGACTTTGGTAAACCAAGGCAAACCAGGAGGAAAGTACGGACATATGTGGAAGGTAGTATGGTCCCGTAATACTGAAAACATAGGATCCGTACTTGACTCTTGGAAAGCTACGGGGAACCAAGAGTGGCAGAGGGTAGGACCTCTCATTCGAAGAATTATACAGTCTTAGTAATATGTAATATTATTTACGATCTAGTTAGCGAGAGATAGTAGGGACTTCTTATGCAACTGATGGCAGAGAGTGGGTCGGATATTACCTTAGGGAAAGACTAGGAAGGTACTAGTGACATGAGCTATTTTATTCAGAATTGTATTCATGGATATGAGGCGACTTTGGTAAACCAAGGCTGTCACACCCCCAAACCAAGGATGGCGGAAACGTCCGAGGGTGGAGGACTTCATGTATAGTATCATAACCACAATTTCAATAGTAATTTAAGCAAACACAACCAACATATATATAATTGAAAAAGTTACATCACTTGTATGAATTACATGTTTCAAAATCAATCACAATATGTTGACAAAATATGAAAAGTTTGACGTCTTAACGTCCCATCCTCAAAAGCACTTGATTACCTGTTTAGTGTTTTCCTGAGAATACGAATTGTTTGAAAAGTGTCAACACAAAGGTTGGTGAGTTCATAAGCTTTTATTAATAAACTTAGTAGAAGTCTTTCACATGTAAATGTCGCGTTTGTTTCAGAAAAATCCGATATTTTTCTTGAAATCCGAAAAATGTAGCCTTATAACCAAAGACTAAAATGTATAAGAAATCATCATTTCTTAGTAGAAATGTCGTGAGTTTAAAATGATATGGGAAGTAAATTTCTTTATCAACCTAAAACCTACTTCGGTTTTATGAAACCCCGTAAACCTTATGAATTGTTATCTCCCTAGGTGAGTCGCTATAATCATACTGTGACTATGTGAACCTGCCACAACGTTTCTCAGGCGTCGCGAAAATGAAATGACATTTGTCACGCGTAGACCTGCAGGTCCCACTGTAGCTAGCAGCAAGGTGTGGGGTGTCAAACCCAATATAGATCTATATACAAGTATCACGTTCTCCCTCAAGGAGATTTTGATTATAACTACCAGGAATTATATCCCGCACTCGGACGTACGGGGAGAGAGAGTCTCACAACATAGGTTAACAAGTTTACGTGAAATGTGTGTGGATATAAATCTTTCTTGTATGAATGTACCCTTTTTGTACGAGTGTGTTGAGTGATGTATCATAAACTATACCTATTATAGTTTATCTAAAATGTATATAATATGTATGAATTCTTTTTATGGAAATGTATTAGTGTTGTGAATTTATCCAACTATACTTTTTATAGTTACATAATACGTGTTCTAAATGAATGAATAATATTTAATATGAATGACTTAGTTTCAGTTCATAATGATAAACTAACAAGGAAACACATTCAAATATTAGAACTTATGATTATACACTTTGCTCAACATATTACAAAGTGTTATGATATTTACATGCTGTTGGCTAACTTTAGCAATTCTGTCCAGTTTTGGAAAAATCATAGAAAAATCATACGAAGTCGAAAACTAGATCCGTAAATTCTGAGAGTTCACAAAATGTGTCTAGTTTACTCATAATTTTTATCACGATTTTTAATGACTTCCAACTTGGGTGAAAATGTCCATAATCACAGACTGGTCCGGATTGTTGTTTGAAATGATAGGCAGTTTTGTAAAAATCACCATAAATTGTAGAAAACTCGTATGGAGATGTGCAAGTAGTCATTTTAAAGCTACAAACTTGAAATATTTTCACCTTGTACAGTTTTGAAAAAAAAAATGTTTAAGATGCCCAAAACAGTCCGTGAATGGAGTTGAACTTTTCTGATGAAGGCTGTTAGAAAAATTTAATTATGTTCTTAGTGTTTTAACTTGTATTCCCCCCCTGAAAACTTGAGAAAACATGAAAATGTAGGGGTATGAACTCACCTTAAGTGATTTCAGTAGGTAAGTGTTGATGAAGAGAAGTGTTCAACCCAAGAACACTTGAAGAATCACTTGAAGATTCGAAGATCTAACACAATTATGAGAGAGTTTGTTTAAGATATCCATGATTCGAGTGGAAATAATTGAGATAATCATAAAGAGAATGGATCATTCTTACCAAACGTGGAGGAAAATCCAAAGATCAGCCCTCAAATCTCGAGTTCTAGAGAGGGAAATTTAGAGAGAAAAGAGTTTGCTCTTTTTGGTGAAAAGAGAGGAAATGAGAGAAATGAGGAGAGAGGGTGAATATTCAGCTCTCCAAAAACGTGGGGAGGGGTGATGATTGATTGGAAAGGACATTGATGTGACCTAGGTAAGGTGGGGAGGTGTGGCTGGTCATAGAGTGGGTGTGGGAGTGGTTGCTTGTGTCATAAGTAAAGCAAAGTCAACACTCCACCTCTTTGTACTTTACCCACTTGCTCTTATTATTTAAATAAGGATTTTTATAAAAATATGATTAAATTAAGAACATTTACGGTTTATTATGTTAAAATATGATTTTGGGTGAAAATCCCGCGTTAAAATAATTAAAAACGGGCCTTAAATGCAAAACTATGCGAAAACCGGGAAGAAAATGAGTTCCCAGCGAGACCTCTCGGTCCTAGGCCGAGGTTCGGTCCCTAGGCCGAGGCTCGGTCCATGCTGAGGTTGGAGTCAGAAGCGAAAGGCGCGAGTCAGACGCGAGAAGTGAAGGGCGAGGGTCCGGTCCGAAGGGTCAGTAGTGAGGGTGGGGTTCGGTTCGGGAATAAGAGGCGAGAATGTCAGAACCGAATGGACTGTAGTGAACAGTAGTGAACAGCACCTTCGGTTCGGTTAGTGAACAGTACCTTCGGTTCGGTTCCTCTTGAGCAGGTTTCGGTTTCGGTTAGTGGTGAACAGTACCTTCGGGTTCGGTTCGGCTCAGGAGGGTTCGGTTCCTCCTTGCTCTCAGTCCCTAAGAGGACCTTCGGGTCCTAAGAAGCTTCTCTCTTCTCGAGAGGTTTCGGTTCCTAATGTCTATTTTTCTCGTTTTTACCCCATTTTAAGTTGTTTTTGACACGGTTAAGCGTCGGAATGACCCGAATGATTCTAAAAAGTTACGGGAACTATTTGAGAGAGATTCGGGAGAGATTTCTCACACTTGGAGAGATTTGGGAGAGATTTGACATTCTTGGAGAGATTTCTCATACAAAGAGATATTTGCGAGAGTTTTCACACCGTGTCAGTATTGGACCCAAACATCTCCGGGATCTCAGCCCGAACCGCCGCAGCTACCTCCTCCTGAATCATCTGACGAATCTCCTCGTCACTCATACTGCTCGAACTCGTTCCGTGGCGTGTCGTAACCATGATGTCTCTAAAATACAACATA